TGAACATGTGAAAACGAACTGTTTGTTATGCCACGTTGAAGGCGAGATACCACTCGAGGAGGGGATCGAATCGCCACACCTCACATTTCCCTGTTTTTTTTTTATCGCAAATCCTTTTGAAAAAGCCAGGAATCACGCGATATGCTTCTAATGCCACGTTGTATGCGATATATCAGCCGAGGAGGCGATCGAATCCCCACCCCTCACATTTCGCTGTTTTTTTTTTATCGAAAAATCGTTTCAAAATGTGTAATGCCACGTTGGAGGCGAGATACCATTCGAGGAGGGGATCGAATGCCCACCCCTTACATTTCGCTGTTTTTTTTTTTTTTTGAAAAAGCCACGAGTGAGGGGATGCGCTTGTAATGCCACGTTGGAGGCAAGATACCACTCGAGGAGGGGATCGAATCCACATCCCTCACATTTCGCTGTTTTTTTTTAATCGAAAAATCATTTGAAAATATAAAAAAGAACTGTTTGTAATGCCACGTTGGAGGCGAGATACCACTTGAGGAGGGGATGGAATCGCCACCCCTCACATTTCGCTGTTTTTTTTTGTTGAAAAAGCCACGAATGAGACGATCTGCTGCTAATGCCACGTTGGGGGCGAGATACCACTCGAGGAGGGGATGGAATCCCCACCCCTCACATTTTGCTGTTTTTTTTTTTCTTCGAAAATCCTTTTGAAAAAGCAACGAATGAGGCGATCTGCTTGTAATGCCACGGTGGAGGCGAGATACCGCTTGAGCAGGGGATTGAATCCCCACACCTCACATTTCGCTGTTTTTTATTTTTCGAAAAGCCTTTGGAAAAGCCACTTAGGAAGCGATCTGCTTGTTATGCAATGTTGGAGGCGAGATACCACTGGAGGAGGCGATCGAACCCCCCCGACGCTGATGGCGTGGCCGGAAGGCGGGGGTCCAGCGTTTCACAAACGCTGTACCGCCGCCCTCCGGCCATGCTATTGGTGGGGGTCCACCGTACGGCAAACGCTGGACCCCTCCAAAAGCATGGCCGGTGGGCGGTGGTACAGCGTTTGTGAAACGATGGACCTCCTCCAAAAGCACGACCGGTAGGAGGGGGTCCAGCGTTTGACAAACGCTGGACCCCCACCAATAGCGCCGCCCACGGGCCGTGCCATTGGCGGGGGTCCAGCATTTGTGAAACGCTGGACCCTTCAAAAGCACGGCATGTGGGCGGGGGTCCAGCGTTTGAAAAACGCTGGACCCCCCGCCTACCGGTCGAGGCATTGGCGGGGGTCCAGCGTTTGACAAACGTTGGACCCCTGCCCATGGGCCGTGCTTCTGGAGGGGTCCTGCGTTTGACAAACG